CAGAGAAGTTAAGTAATCGTGTGTTTAATAAACAATGTCATTCGAACAGAGAAGTTAAGTAATCGTGTGTTTAATAAACAATGTCATTCGAACAGAGAAGTTAAGTAATCGTGTGTTTGATGTAAAAAGAAGATATTTAATTTTTACGTGTTTAAACATTTCAATTTTCTAGAAATCATCAGATATTTATTTCTTCAGTTTTGTATTCTAAATTCCAAAGTTTGTACTTACTTCAAAACCGTTATTCAACTTTCTACCCAGGGCTGTATCCTTTAATTAGCTTACACTTATACATCGTGCTCCAAACACGATTCATGTTCGTTTAAACGTGACTGGATAGTTTTATTTTTAATTCACTTATGCACACATGTTGCTCATAAAAATAACCAATGTTTACTATTCCGTTTTCAAAGCTCAGCACGTGATATTTGAATTGAACATACACTTTCCCCCAAACTTTAAATGGTATGATTTTTGACAACCATATTCGTAAATTGGTAAAAGTAACGAAATGGGAGTTATTTACCTGTGCCTTTTTACATTAAGCCTAAAATGTATTATAATTTTACCAGAAAAAAAATCATTGTTTTTCTTAGATAGAAAATTATTTTTCTATACGAGCAAATAAAATTTACATAACTGAGACATTTTTGCACAGCACCTGAAAATACAAAACTTAATTCCCAATTAGGTGTTATTATTTGTATTCAATTCGTTTGTTTTTCAACTCGTTTTCAGTTTATATGCATTGTAGTACACTAAACAGATTACAAACAAAAGTTCTGGTAATCAACTCTACCAGGTTACGTTCTTTGACCAAATAAGAAAAAAAGATACAAGTTTTTCCCTTCATTTAGTAAAATGTTCACACTATTTGTTTTCTTGTTAAGCTTATTAAAAGTTGGTTATTCTTATATTCTTTAACAACCTGGTAGCCATATTGGTAAAGACTTTGCTCCCATTAAAATTCTATCGGTAGACACATGAAAAACAGCATAGATGTGTACCTTCCTTTACTCGTTCCTGTATCTCCCTTTCACTCAAAGCGTTTGATTTGGGTTTTTCCTTGCGCGATGCCTATAGGATGAGAGTAAAAGACGTCATGTTATGTTCCAGAATCTTAAACAAAATATTACACCACACCTACAGAATAAGAGTGTATTAGGCTATCAATAATAATAGTAGAATAATTTTAAAATGTTATAGTTTGTTTGTAATTAAGCACAAAGCTACACAATGGGCTACCTGTGCTCTGCCCACCATGGGTATCGAAACCCGGATTCTTGAATTAGCTTGAATTCTTCACAACCTCTGAATAGTGGTTGACCCAACGGGTCACGGTGGTCTAGTCACTGCTAAATTAGGGACGGCTATACGCAGTAGGCCCTCGTGTAGCGGCGCGAAATTCAAAGTAGCTTTTTATGACATTCAACAAACGAACAAACAATGAACAGCTAGTTAATTCAAAATGTCTGCCATGCTTAACCATAATCTCGTTTCATGCTCCACGTAATGTTTTGCTCACTAATGAAAGTGAGATTTCTGGTATTTTTCTCTAAAATGTATAAAAGATTAATAGAAACTGATTTTGTAACATGCACAAACTTAGAGACTCCCAGGCAGTTCTACTAGCCGCCATTACTAAACTTAAATGTACCAGTAACTTCAGAAAAACGACTCCTTCAGTGCATTTAAGATATAAAAAGATGTCAAAAAAATGTTCAACTAGAAAATGTTTTATATAAATAAACCTTTCTCACGTCACACATGGAAGTTTTAAAGAAAAAAACTAACAAGAGCTTATTTAAGTATTTCTAAAATGCTTTCAAAGAATTTGGTGACATTTCGTGACAGAATATCGACTCGCACTATTATTGGAAACTCTGCATCTGATTCCTCAGAAAATATTTATTCCATTTTCACGAAGATGAGGCTGAAGGAAAGGAAACTGGAATATGACAAGGACGAGGCTAAGAAACCCATTAGAACTTTATAAAAGAATGAAAGTCGAACGCCATTTTGAATTCAGAGAATTCACTAACGTATTGATTTCTTGATACGAGAGCTTCTGAAGTAAGATCTTCTGAACACAATGTAGAAATTACTTATCCAATCATTTCATTACAATTCGTTACCCGTCACGTCAAACGTGTTCTCAACCTAAAGTTTAGGGCACTCGACTCCTAATCTGAGGATCGCGGGTTCGAATCCCCGTCCCGAACCTGCTCGTTCTTTCAGACTTGGGGGCGTTTTAACATTGCGGTCAATCCCGCTATTCGTTGTTAAAAGAGTAGCCCAAGAGGTGGTGATGACTAGCTGCCTTACCTCTATTCTTAAACTTCTAAATTGGGGATGGCTAGTGCAGATAGCCCTCGTGTAGCTTTGCGCAAAATCCATAACAAACAAACGGCAAGGACAACGTGAGATTTTTATAACTTCGTGATTTTATTTAAAATGACAGAAGGCAAAGCCTAGAAGTGGTTTACGTCAAAATGTATGCATGTTGTATTTTAAGGATTTTTTTATTAAATTCAGAAAAAATGGAAACTATAGGCCGTACTTTTCAGAGTACACCACTGTTCACGGTTCTGTAATGACGTGTTTTTAAAAGGGTTAGACTACTTTTTATATCTTCATTAAGAAGAATAAAAAAGTTAAGACTAAAAAAACATAATCCAATTTATTTATAACGTAGGCAAAAATTTTGAAACCTAACAAGAAAGCTGAATTAAAAGTTGTGAAATTTACTTTGTTGCCTATGTTGAAAATGTGAAGAAAATATTCATAAGTTAACAATAAGTTAGGGCTAGCAATGTATTCCAAACGGTTAACTCTATGTAGTATCATGGAAAAAAAATTGATTCTACTGATAATGCCTGGCATGTCTTGGTGGTTAGGGCACTCGAATTCCCGTCACCGAACATGCTCGTCCTTTCAGCCGTGTGGACGTTATAATGTTGTGGTCAATCCCACTATTAGTCCAGGAGTTAGAAGAGGTTGGTATTATCACTTCAGAATTAGGGAAGGTAGCCCTACAGTAGCCTAGCGTGAAATTCAACAAAAACTAGTAGTAATGGGTTCTGTACGAAAGTAAAATTAACAGTTTTCTTCTGCAAGTATCATGTCCAAAGCATTATCTCCTTTTGTTTTAGCCTAAAAACAAATATTCTATGACTTGAACGTTTCGATTGTGTTAGCGTTTCATGTTATTAATATTTTATCGTTGTGAGAATGTCAAAGAAGGTAAATAATTAGTGATTATTTTAACGTTTCGTAAGCGTAATCCACAATTGTAATTGATTAGCTTGGTCACGTGATTTGTTATTCTCTTTTTATTGGTCTATATCAATCACGGAATAGATTTATTCGGAACACGAATCAAGTGAGGATACGAAATTTCGTCAGTAAGATATTATCGTACATTTAAAGCCAAGTAAACAAGTTCAAAAATTGAAATAACCAATGGAGTAGTTTCTTAAACAGGTTTGATTATTTGTTTAAGCTCAAAGATGCGCAATGGACTATCTGCGCTGTGCTCCCGGCAGGGATCACACCCCGAATTTAATGTTATAAGCCCTCAAGCTTACCGCTGAGCCATTGGGGAGGTCGAAGATCCAAAAAGAGGGTGTTTGACAAATGAGTTTGGCATTGCAAAAACGGAATTTGACAAAGACTTAGCTTTGCTGACTTTTGTTCTTTCGATCGGCGTGACTGTGGTAGAATAGATTAAAGTTTTATACTCCTGGAGTTAAATGTAGGAACTATTCAATGGAACACTCTCACAACACTAAAGTTGATATGAGTTGTTTGGATACCAGCGGTCAATCTTAAAAATATAAAGTGTATTTTGTATTTATGATGAAGATGTTAAGGTTATCTGTCACCGTCCCTCATTTCTAACTACTGGCCAGAAGAAAGGCAGTCAGTTGGTTTGTAGCGTTCTACAACCCACTATCTACGCTAAGGGATTGACTGTCACTCTTATAAAGCAACCTAAACTTAAAGTGTGTATGATATTTTGTGGTATCTCACCAGCTACGAAATCCAGAGCTCTCCTAAAAAAATCAACCCATGCAGGCCCGGCATGGCCAGGTGGATAAGGCACTCGACTCGCAATCT